TGTTTACTTTCTTCATCATATCTAATTTCTAACAGTTCTTCTTGGCAAGTTGTATCAGCCTCTTCAATATTTGCGGTAAAATGATTTTTCATCCAGTCATACACCTTCAATTTCAAAATATCTTCAAATTGTTTTTCCATGTCCAATTTAAGTTTGTTGAGGTGGCTACTGAATCTGTCAATATCCTCTGGAGTTACATCATCTTTTATAGATGATAATTCAGGAAACTGATGAAATTCTCTCTTCAATAGATTATAACAAAGTAGTTCAAGTTTGTCAATAAATAATGACACAATACTTTGGCAAACTATAAGAGTTTTATTAGCTCCTTGAAGCTGCAGATTGACATCATGAAATCTCTTGAAAATATCTGCCAAATAAAAGGCATCATTCTTTACTGTTTTTAACTGTTGAAACAGATTGGTGTCATTATTACTTTCAAAAAATTGTATGACACTATCATATAATGCTACAAAACGAGCCAAAGATGTACCCTTTGACAGCCACCGAACTTCTGTGTGCAAAAGTAACATAATAAAATCTACATTATTGTCCTGGCAAAGCTGTCGAAACATTCTATCATTTTTTGGTTTGGATTTGATCTTGTTTATTTATTATTTATTTATTTATTTATTTTATTACATTTATATCCCGCCCTTCTCCTTACGGACTCAGGGCGGCTAACAATCAGATAAAATACAAAAATACAATACACATTTAAAATTAATTAAAAAGAAATATTTAAATCTGATCCGATTAAATCTGATCCGATTAAATCTGATCCGATTAAAAGTGGCTCGAATTATTATAGTTAATGATGAATGGAGACTTGTACTTAGATGTTTTCCTACAAGATGTTGTCTGTGCACCACACAATGAATACATAAAACATTTGGCACTTCTTCCTTCAAAATTCGTTGTTTAGGTGTTATCGTTGGATGGTAACTACCACGAGGTAGTCATCGCGTACGTTGTTATAATAAGTTTCCTTATAATAAAAAACATTTCATACTAAAGTGTCATAATTTATATCTATTAGGAAAACATAGACATTACTCTAAATAACGCTTATCGATTTCTTCTCGTAATGTATTGTTTTCATCAAAATAACATACATAGGCCATCAATAAAGCATTATTATCTGCAGTGGTAGACTCATCCAATTGCATGGAAAATGAAGAGTTTTGGAGAATACTTATCAGGTTTTTTTTCAACATTAACTGCCATTTCATCAATTCGTCACTTTACTGTGCTATCGCTTAGGGGCAACATTTTTAAATTTTAGGTATATCCTGATGCATTACTGTTGAAATAAATTCTTTTATAGAGGATATTATTACAGTTTCTCCAATATTATAGCTTTTACCACTTTTTGCAATTAATTGTGAAATGCGATAAGTGGCAATTAATCCATCTTCGTTCACTGCATGTTGTTTCTTAAATGATGCAACAATTATTGAACGATTTTGAAATTTTTTATATATTTCCTGAAAATATTCAATGGGCTTGTCCTTATCATCTGGATGCTTTGTAGAAAGATGTTCTCGCAATCGACTTGGCTTCATTGCCTCATTGGATAATGTTTTATGACACAATAAACACATTGGATGTTGTTTATTTACAACATTCTATGAAACCCATCTTCAATACTCTGGCAAATAGCCACGAGCATATTTCCTTTTTTGAGACATGGACTCACAATATTTTGTTTGAAGCTGTAGGCACGTGCTCACTCAAAATGGCAGCCGCGCCACCGACTTTCTGTCCTGGGCAAGCAGGAATGAATAGAAGGCCTTTATGGCTTCTATCTTGGTCATGAGGGAATGCCCAGTGGAGTCTGGTTTGCCCCCGATCCGTGCCTGTCACAGCAGGATGAAGAGAGCCTGGTTCTTGTCAGAGATGCCTGAAATCTCTATGACTGAGGGCTCTGTGCGGCTCTCAAAATGGTGGCCGCGCCAAAATTAGCGGCCGCTTGTATTTCGGCAAGGCCTTCCCAGCCTTGAGGGGCCCTGAGGGGAAGCTTGTTGTTCGTTGTGTCTTTAATTTCCACCCTCTGGAGCCGAAAATGAGGCACTTGCGGTTTTATCTCGTTGCGCAGCCTCTGCTGCGATCTGGATCGTCGAGAAAGTCGACGGGGGCCTCGCGACAACGGCGTGCTTCGGCGAGGCTGTCAGGCCTCCGAGAGCTCCATGGGGGGTTGCCCAGCTGAGGCTAACACCCCGCGCCTGCTGGAAAGCTCTGTGAGCCAATCGGAGGGCTCGATGGATCCGAAAATTTAAACGGCTCAGATTGAACCCCTATCGCCCACCATGAAAGCTGGAACGCCCACTAGTGGGCAGTAGGGACCAGGTTGACTACCACTGATCTAATTCCTCAGTTCTCACTTTAGCCCTCTTCTTTTGCCAAGCATTTTTCCCAATCAATATATTCCGTTGAATCAAAGAGCCTTTCCATAATCTTGCAGATGTTGTGGATATAATAGGCAAATCAAATATCATGTCTTTGTAAAAGGATTTTGCCCCTTCATATTCATTGAAGATTTCTCTCATCATCCCTTGTCTCCCCATTTCTTGTGGTACTCACAACAGCTCAGCAATCCATTTTGTCAAATCTTTTTCCTTATCCTCAAATTTACTTTGTGATCTTAGAGTACAAGTTATCTTTTCCATGTTCAATGTTTCTTGTAAGTCCTTCTCCACTTGAGTCTGCACTAGTTTATATTCAGTTGTCTGCTTGACATGATCTCTCTCTCTCTTTGTTTTCTGATCATTTAACACACACACCCCTCTCACTTTTGGAGGATTTTTCCTTTTGGGTTTTTTTCTTTTTTTCTCAGGAAATCAGTCAGGTAGAAGAGAGAAAATCAATATTCTTACCCAGTTCATGCACGATGTTTACAATCATGCTTAGTTTAGTGCTTTTTGACTTCGGCTGCATGTAACTTGGACTAGAGTCACGAATGATGCTAGCCTTTCTTCTGTCGGTTTTTTGGAGAGCTTTCCCCAGATGTCCGAATCAACCACCATCTCCCCAGGATTGATGGGGCTTCCCTCCTTCCTTGCCACCTTTCCGGGGTGGCTTTGGGCCCATTTAGGATCCCCAAACAGAGAAATCAGCCATAGGGCTTGGATCATCTTGATCCCTCGGCTGTAGCGCTAGCTGCGCAGAACCGGAAGCCTCGTTTTCTATTGTAAATCTCCACCTTCTATATCCTATCATTCCAGGTGCTCATCCTTATCTTTTTGGGTATTGCTTACTGTCATCTTGCTGACACCAAAATGTTCTGCCATCTTTTTTTGTTTTCTAGAAAGCATAAAAGATCAACCTTCTTCAATGTCCGCTCTTTCAGTTTCTTCCTTTTTGCCATCGTGGCTCAACTTGCATAGAAAAAAGACAAAAATATAAAATCTAGTTCTTTCTCATATGACTGCTTCGTAATTGCACCTAAACATTGTTTGTTACACTTTAAAACTTCTTTCTTTCATAATGGTTAGATCCATTGTAAATGGCACACTGTTGTTGGTGTTTTGCTTTGATGGCCACCACAAGGTTAAATGAGTAAAATGGCTCACATATATCTGTGTTGTGTGTATATTTGTTTAATTTTACCACTTCTATTTTTTTATCAATCCTGAAAAAGAGAAAGGAAAAAAATTTGAAGTAAAAAAAATTAAGTTTTTGTGCAATTTGTATTACGAAATGAATCCATACTTATCATTGTTAAACTGCCAAATCAAATCAAAAATATTATATTCTTTTACATTCTTCTTGAAATAAATTCATTGGTACCAATTCTGCATTTCACTTTTCTTGCCCTTGGTGCAGACTGGACACAACCGATCAAGTTATAGAGAGTAAATTAATACTGTGTGTATCAAGGTCCAGGTGCATCAAGATACAACTTATAGAGGTGGTCAGTATTGAGAGGTTGGCTTTCTATTGTGTACATATAGTGTATGTCCGGTCTACGAAAATTAGATCAACTTAGGGAGATGGTCAATGTAGGGAGGTGGTCAACTATAGAGGTATTACTTTAATTGTTATTAAAAAAGATTAATGATAAAAGCAATACAAATATTTAAAAAGAAAAAGGAAAATACAGAAAAATAGTAACTGAAAGTAGAAAAAGAAAAAGTAGAGAAAAAAACAAAAAAACAAAAGATTTTAAAGAAGCAGCTTCCAGTCTTTTTGATATGGCTATAAATGCATTTATATTTTACCCTCTCTCTCTAAGGTTACATCGTAATTTCCATCTTCCATCTATATTCTATCCTTTCTAATTGACAAGCCTATAAATCACAAGCTCATTTTATTTTTTTTAGCAAATAAAATCCATAAAGGGTTTCCAGTAACTAATAAATTAATAGTTGATCTTTCCTAAACCTATTAGTTAATTTTGTCATCTCTACTACTTTCATCGTCTTCATCAACCATTCTTCTATTTTGGGTATTTCAAAGTCTTTTCATTTTTGTGCATATAGAGTAATAGTCTTGCAGCAGTGATAATACAGTGGTACTTTGGTACTCAACTGCTTTGAAACTCATTGAATTTGGTATTCAACGCATTTTGATGTGAAAATTTGTCCCGATACTCATAGTTTGTTTGCTACTCAATGCACAAGCTAGAATTTTTCTGTCAGCTGCCTTGTGACTGACTACATTATTCCTTATGGGAAAAATTTGTTTGCTACTCATTGTTTTTGGTACTCATCATGCCTCCCAGAACCAATTAACAATGAGTACCAAGGTACTATTGTATATAAAAATAATTGTGTTTCTTTTTTAGTTGCCTATCCATTAATCCCAACAAGAAGTAATCATAAATCTACGAGCAACTTCATTTTGGTGAATATGGTAAAGTGTTGAATGCTTTTATATATTAATATCCTTTTTTAAAAAAATCTCTCTCTCTCCCTTTCTGTCCTAACAGTGATTGGTACAAAGTGACCTACATGCCTAAAGGGTGGCAAGGAAAATTAGAAGACAGCTAAAGCTCAGTCATGTCTTCTGTTTGGCACAGTATTCTCTCTCTTCATGGGAACTACAAGAGGTTGGGTTACCTCTTAATCTTCACTGTAAGTGTATGTTGTAGTGCCTCTTTAATGTGCCCCACCACTTGCATCTGTGCCAGTGACATTACGAGCTGCACCAGCAGAAACCTCTCAAGGGTGCCATCAGCTCTTTTCAAGCACATAAAAAGACTCGATCTGAGTCACAACAGAATTGGGGTTTTGGATCAAGACTGGATACCCATGCTGCTTGAGAAGTTGAACACCCTCATCCTCAATCATAACAACATTTTCAGTATTTCTATTGGGAGCTTCTCAGTTATTCCAAATGTCAAGTACCTAGACCTGTCATCCAACAATTTGAAGTCACTGGGCAGTCCTATATTTCAGGAACTGAGAATGCTGGAGGTTCTGTTGCTTTATAATAATCATATTGCAAAGGTTGATTCTGCTGCTTTTGGAGGAATTCATACCCTGCAAAAGCTGTATTTAAGTTACAACTCTCTCACACGCTTCCCAATTGAACTCTATACTGGGAAATACAAGCTCTCAGAACTTGTGTTCTTAGATGTTTCTTACAATCAGATCCAGTCAATACCAATGAATGGCATGAGCTTAGTACCAGCCCGACACTTAAGTGGAATTTATCTTCATGGGAACCCATTTCATTGTGACTGCATACTTTATTCCATGCTGAACTTCTGGTATCTTCGACATTTTACTTCAGTGAAAGACTTCAAGACTGAATACACATGCAATAAAGACTCCCAAAAACTGCCTTTATTGCAGAACAATTATTTAAATTGCTCAGAAAGCACCATTAATGGTTCTTTCCATGCCTTTGGTTTTATTCATGAAGCACAAATTGGTAAGAGGATTATAGTACCCTGTGATACCAAAATCAGTGATGCTGGGACTAGTTTTATTTGGATCAGCCCAGATAATCAAGTTTTAGAGCCAGGAAAAACAACTGAACAGTTCAAAGTATTTCATAATGGAAGCCTGGAAATAGATGATGCTCAGTATGAAGACGCTGGACTTTATTCCTGCATTGCAATAAATAAGAAAAGATTATTGAATGAAACAATTGAAGTAAGAATAAATGTCAGCAATTTCACAGTGGACAAATCTTACTCTCATGAAACATTTAACACTGCTTTTACAACCCTTGCAGCTTGTGTAGCCAGTATTATTTTGGTTCTTCTTTACCTCTACTTGACACCCTGTCCTTGTAAGTGCAAGTCAAAGAAAAGGAAAAGGCAACTGAACCAAAGTAGCACATCTAATGCATCCATACTAACCTCCAACACACCCCTCAAACTTCCAGCAGATGAGAAGAAAGCTAGCTGTGGCAAAAAGGTGGTGTTTCTTGAACCTGTGAAGGAACCTAAACCAGGTCAAAATGGAAAAGTCAGAATGTTTCCCAATGAGACTGTAATTGCTGAAAGCATCCTGAAAACACCCCGAAAAAAATCAGACTCTAATTCCACAAACCCAGCATTCTCGGACATGCCTTTCATGCCATCTTCTTAAGTTTTCCTCCTACACTGATGTCATAATCCTCGCAGTAGCAGCCACACCTTTATCTAATGTTGAAAGAAAAGTCATAGAAAACTTTCTGATTTTTTTAAGAACATGGAAATCTTGAAGGTTAAAGTTAATTGCTATTAACTTTTTGTTCCTTCTCAGTGGGAAGAATATGCGTTAATCTTAAAACATTCAGGAGGAGCTCGTTGTTACATGTAGCAGAGTAGAGTGGTATACCTTGCATTCTTACTACTATTTCCTCTGAAGTGAATTAGGAGGTAGCCTTATGGAGGAACTTGTTTGAATACGGTTCTCATTCGGTGGAAGAAAGCTTACACAGCAGGGTCCCATCAACCTAGGCCCTTAGCTGCATCACTGTATAGAATCAGTGAGACTGTATTATCAGGGATGAGACTTTTAATCAAGTATGTCTTATAGAGTTTATAGAAGAACAAAATAGCCATTTATTCAATTTCTGTTCATTGCCTTGAGATACTGGGTACATAAAGAAGCAAATAAATTTATATAACCCAGAATATTCTGAAGTAATGTTTAATGTTTAGATAAATTTCAAAACTGGGCAGGGATTAGGTTTTTCTTTTTCTATAATGAATTTTAAAATCTAGGAATGTAGTGTATGGTAAATCTAGTAAGAGATAAACTTCAAAAAATGATAACTTTTACTGTCCAGAGGTATGATTATTAAACCATTAAGCCTTGAAGGCCTGTATTTCAGAAGGGATATCACTTCAGGCTTGTTAAGAAACCCATAATTCAAAAGTATTTAAGAAGTACTGTTTTTCCATCTAATTATGGTGAGGACAGAGATGCACTATTGGAATTTCTGTCTTTATAGGTCTTAAAGGGATAAGAGCCATGTTACTGTAGAAGTATATCCAGCCTATTTGTTTGGATTAAAATTTAGGTATGTGTGCTGTGTGGACTGAGCAGAAAATGTCTACAAAAATGAATGCATAGAATTAATTTTGTAAAATTATTGTTATTTGTGCAATTAGATATTTTGTATTAGTTCTACTGCACTTTGACTATTTTTGATGACCTATTTACAGCCATAAACTAAATTGTTGATCCCAAGATAAATGTTGCTTTCACATCAATGGCATGAATGCCTAGACTTTACCTTCTGTAGAACCTAGATTCATTAAATTTCATGGTTTAGAGCTTTATTTGAAAAATTCAAAGTAATTAAGCTAATTCTGTTTGTCATTGTTTAATGTGCACCAACAAAGCAACAGATCAGGAAGCTTCCACCTTGTGAGGTTTTGATATAAAATTGACAATTAAATCATAATTTCAGGATGATCAATTCCATTAGAAAGCTGGAGCTTTGTACAAGTCAAATATATTTTAGCATAGTTTTCAGTTAGTAAAACAATAAGTTATTTGCAAGTTACTTATTTTGCATAGCATTGTTTGTCCCATTTGGGTTCCTGTCAAATTGGTGGTCATTTCTGCAGTGACATGTGGAATAACTTACAATTTCTTGGCTTCGTGTATAACTTGCAGATGAGAATCTTCCTTTCTCTGCTGGCTGTCAAATGCAACCTTCAACCAGAATAGAGCTGGAAGGACCTTGGAGGATTCCAGTCCAACCACTTGCTCAAGCAGAAGACCCTATACAATTTGAGATAGGTGGCTGTCCAGTCTTTTCTTAAAAACTTCCAGTGATGAAGCACCTACAATTTCTGAAGGCAATCTGTTCCACTAGTTAATTGTCCTCACTGTTAGGAAGTTTCTCCTTAATTTCAGGTTACTTCTCTCCTTTATTAGTTTCCATCCATTATTTCTTGTCTTGCCTTCTGGTGCTTTGGAAAATAAGTTGACTCCCTGTTCTTTGTGGAAGCTCCTCAAATACTGGAATACTGCTATCATATCACCCCTAGTCGTTCTTTTCTCTAGACTTGCCATACCCAATTCCTGCAACCATTCTTCATATGTTTTTTTCTCTAGGCCCTTAATCAGTTGCTCTTCTTTGCACTTTTTCCAAAGTCTCAACTTCTTTTTTGTAATGTGTCCATTACAAAAACAGGTGTGATCTTACTAAGGATTTATAAAGTAGTACTAATACTTCATGTGATTTTGATTCTATGCCTCTTTATACAACCAAGGATTGTATTAGCTTTTTTGGTTGCTGCCTCACATTGCTGGCTCATGTTTAAGTGATTGTCCACTAGGCCTGCAAGGTCTATCTCACAGTTACTGTTTTGAGCCAGGTTTCACCTAATCTCTACTTGTACCTTTGGTTTTTCCTGCATAGGTGTAAAACCTTGCTTTTCTCTGCATTAAATTTCATATTGTTGGATGGGGCCCATTGTTCAAGTTTTTGTTCATTCTGAGCCTTTGCTTTCCTGACCTCATCTTTGCAAATTCGTGCTATCTGCTGATATTCTGCCTTATTTATGTGTCCCTTTTTCCATTTTTTATACTTATCCTTTTTGTCTTTCAGTTTACCAGAAAGATCTTTGTACAGCCTTGCTGGTTTCTTCTTGGATTTCTTGTTTTTCTTTTTTCAATGGTATTGTGTTGGACTGGGCTTTTATGATCATATTTTTCAGAGTTTCCCACATTACGTGAGTTGTTTTTTCCCTTTAGGATTTTTATCCATGGATTTTTTTTCTTAGGCTCTCTCTGAGTTTGTTAATATCAGCTCTTTTAAAGTTTAAGACACTAGTTGGATTATATTATATTGCTTGTGTTTGCATTATATTGATTCTGGCAACTTCAATTTCCTCTGTCACTTCTTCTCTATTAGTAAGAATTCGGTCCAGTGTAGCTTTTCCTCTAGTTTCGTCCTCTACCTTTTGGATGACAAAGTTGTCAGCTAGGTTGGTTAGGAATCTGTTCAATCTCCCAATTGCTGCAGAGTCTATGTCCCAGTTGATATCAGAATAATTAAAGTATCCCATTACTACATACTACATGGTATGTTTTCTACATACATTTGTTAATTTATTAGCAAAGAGTTCATCTATTTCTTCTGCTTGGTTGGGTGGCCTTTAGCAATTTTTGTATTGACCAATATGGATTCTAGGAGATTTTCATCCTTGGTTTTGTGTAGAAATATTTTATATATAATGCAACTCCACCTCCCCTTTTGTTAGGTCTCTTTCTTTTGAATAGTTTGTATTCTTTTATCAGTACATTCCAGTCATGAGTTTCATCCCACCAGGTTTCAGTAATGGCAACTATATCATACCTGCCTTCGTGTACTAATACTTCAAGTTCATCCAATTTGTTCCCTAAACTTGGAATGTTAGTGTATATGCATTTTATGGGTCTTGGATATGTTTCTTATATCTCCTATATTATAACTGGGATTTCTATCCTTTCCATCATTGGAATTAGATTCTCAAGGTTGTGAAGATTGGCCCCCCTCCCCCCTCAATTTTAGTTTAAAGCCCTTTTGACAAGATGAGCAAGTCGTTTTCCAAATATATTCTTTCCAGTTCTTGTGAGGTGCAGTCCATACCTTGCCAGGTGCCCTTCATACAGGTAACACAGACATGGTCTAGGAAGCCAGAGTTCTGTCGACAACACCAGTTTTTAAGCCAGTGGTTCGTTTCTAACTGCTGCCTCATTGGATGTTGCAAGTATAGATGAAAACACCACTTTTACTATAGATGAAAACAATGTTCCATATCTCCAGAATGAGGGGAAAACCGCCTGGATGGTGATCACAGCCACACAATAAAAACCCCATTGCTTTCTGCATGTGTGAAAGTTGACACATGTGCAGAAGTGTTGTATGGGGGCTTCAGTAACACTGCCACAACCATCAGCTTGTCTTTTATTTTTTAATTACTCTTGCAACACTGCTGTCTACTATGTTCGTTTGCCATCTATTCTGAAACATGAAAGAGTGTTAAATGGTCTCCCTTGGTCTACAGTTGATAAAGTTGTGGCTATCTTAGTTTTACTATTCAGTGATGGTACCCTGAGTCAGCTGTATTTCCTTTTGTACAAAACCTTACTTGCTACTATATAAATTCATATAAGTTCAAGGATAGTCAGTCCTTAAATGGCTTAGATTAGAATGACCATACCTAAAATGCTATTTCTCTGTAGTAAATGTAAATTAAATTATTTTCTTTGCTTCAGTTCTTCCTCTTAAGCAAAGAAGAAGCAGAACAGTTTACCCCACTGAGGACTTGCATTTGTAAATAAGATTAAGAACTATATGTGAAATAGGTCAGTTTACAAATCAATAGTAAATGCAGGGCTTTTTTTCTCATAGAACAGCCCAGAACGGAGTTCTGGCACCTTTTTTGGATGGAACCTTGTAGAGTAGGCAAGGCGGGTTGTATGACGTGTGTGAGTTCCAGCACTTTTTTTTTTTTTTCAAAAAAAGCACTGAATAAATGTAAGTCTAAAGCTCTCTGCTCCTTTACATTCTATGTGATTTTCATGTCGTCTTGGTTCAACAATAAAGTATCTTGAAACAAACATTTGAATCTCTGTGTCTTTTTGTAAGTAACCAATGTATTAAACTAAAAATGAAATGAACTAAATCAACCTTCAATAATCATGTGCTGCTTTGTTCCTTTTGTTCTGTGCATGTTTATTCAATTGGCCATGAATGAATGGGGAGAAGCAGAACTTCTACAAAACATTCTGCAACTGATGTCACACATTGTGTTAAGCCATGGTTTAATCATAGTTTGCTTTACTGCATAACCACTATTAGCTGAAGTCAGAAATGCTAAGAGAACACAAGATACATTACAGAATAGTATAATGTATGTAATGCATATGATCAAAGTACAGTATTCTAAGACCTGTAAGCAATATCTAAGAGTATATTACAAGATTCAGGTCACCACTTATCTTCAAAGGTTTCTAATGTGCAGAAGAAAGAACCAGTTTTGCTCTGTTGCAATGAATACATTTAATATCAACAAAGTGATTTTAACTATTTGGTGTATTGGTCATCATTAACCATCTATCCTGCCTTTCCCTGAGAATTGTAAATCAAGATAATAGATACA